TCATAGCACCGTCGCCAAAGCATAAGTTGGATTTTGTAATGAATTGTCTAGTTCTTGGTGATCACTCGAGTGATGAACTGATAATCCAACAAGAACTAATTGTGGATAGATTACTACAGGAATGTTCTTTTTTTGCAGCCACGGTTCCTAGGACTTTCAAGCAGGCACAAAAATCGAAACAGTGGGACAAGTGGAAAGAGGCCATAGAGGAAGAACTTAGCAACCTGTTCCGGATGAAGGTGTGGTCGGTGTTACCCCTACCGGAAGGCAGGCAAGCACTATATGGCAGATGGGTATTTGCAGAGAAATCAAACAACCAGTCTGAAGTTGTCCGATGGAAGACAGGGTATGTGGTGAAAGGTTTTACTCAGGTTGAGGGCTATGACTTCAATAAAACTTTTGCACCTATGGCAACTTTCGTGTCCATGTGATTACTGCTATTGTTAGCAGCCAAGTTCAACTGGCCGGTAAGATCCTTTGATTTTGTAGCTGCATATCTCAACTCTCCGATTGACGAGGAGGTTTGGGTAAAGGCACCAGAAGAAATGAATCTACCACCAGGACACGCCATGAAGCTACACAAGGCCTTGTATGGAACCAAGCAAGCGGCGAGGTGTTGGTGGCTCCATCTCAAAGGTATACTCAATGGACTAGGATACAAGGCAAGTCAGTATGACAACTCTGTGTATACTCTGCAACATCCTACAGAAATAGGCATAGTATGGATACACGTGGATGACGGAATAGTCACAGGATCATCCGAGAAACTTCTTAGAAAGTTGGAAGCTGAACTGAAAGGCATACTGCAAATCAAATGGACAGATGGCCTTGAATCCATAGTAGGTCTTGAAATCAGAAGGATCCAACAAGGTTTTCAACTCCAACAACCTAAGCTAATCAGCCAAATTCTCAAGGATCACTGGGACGGTGTGATGACAACCAAGACCCCCCTTCCTGCTTCTCTAGAACTGACCACAGATCCAGATGGAGTGACAGCAGACTCTACTAAATTTCTCTCCATCATAGGTTCTTTGAGCTATCTGGCCGTAGGCACAAGACCTGACATCGCTTACTCAGTCAACAGCCTAGCAAGATTTTCAGCTAAACCGGGGGTCAACCACTGGAAAGGTTTGAAGCATCTGATTAGGTACCTCGCTGACTCCCAGGACCTACAGCTAAACCTGTTTCCCACAGATCAGAACAAAGCGCTGAAGTGTTTTGCTGATGCGTCATGGGGAGGAGAACTGGCACGGTCAACATATGGAAAACTGATCACCTTTTGTGGGTGTCCAGTGCTTTGGGCATTGCGAAGATTTGCCACCATAGCTGCCTCGACTGGCCAGGCAGAATATATGGCTCTGGGCATCGGGACGCGCCAGGTCCTATGGGTAAGACACCTTCTCACTGATATTCTAAAAAAGGATTTCACTGCGACAACCAAGCAGCGATATGAGTAAGCACAGACAACTCCGCCAACAAGAGAGTACGCCATGTCGACAGAGAATTTTTCCTTACAAACCAGGCCATTTTTGAAAAGAAAACAGATATAGTTTGGGTGCCAACTACTGAACAACTGGCGGACATACTAACTAAAGCCCTGACTAAAGACCCTTTTGAAAAGTTCTGGGGGAGAATCATGTCTAGTGTTGTGACCTGACTAGGTCACAGAGTGTGAGACTCATCTAGACCTCTTGTGTTTCTTCTTATCATGTATATATATAGTCGCTACTCTACATATACATGAAAAGCATCATTCATTCTGCAAACTTCTTCTCGAGTTCCATCAGTTTGTGACCTTGTCTCAACCCCTTGGACTCTACACGCCCCATCAATACACCCAGTCATCCATGGGACTGGGAGTACATCTCCCATGGATGATAAACACCCCCATCAAGGACTGATTTCAACCAGTCCTTGATGGGGTAAACCTCCCATCAAGGGCCGGTTTGGACCTTGATGGGAATAAACAACCCCATTGATGACCGGTTTTGACTGGTCATCAATGGAGGACACACTCCCATCAAGGACCGGTATTGACCGGTCCTTGATGGGAGGAAACACCCTCAAACACCCCCATTGATGACCGGTCATACCGGTCATCAATGGGAGTCAACCCCCCCAAACACCCCCTTGGATGACCGGTTATGACCAGTCATCAATGGGTTTAAACACCCCCAGCAATGACCAGGCAAAACCGGTCATCGATGGGAGTAACTCCCCCAAAATGCCCCCAGAGATGACCGGTCATTGATGGGAGTAAACCCCCCCAAACACCCCCTTGGATGACCGGTTATGACCGGTCATTGATGGGTTTAAACACCCCCAGCAATGACCGGTCAAAACCGGTCATCAATGGGAGTAACCCCCTGCCCACGCAACGAAATTGACGGACCTGGTCGGAATTCGATGAGCCGGGTCCAATAACCGGGGTAGTCTGAAATTGC